ATCTTTAAAAAAATTAATAAATAAAACTAATTTTGCATTATTGTTTGTGTGAGAACTTATATTCTATATCCAAGAAAACTTCACTGGTATCTATTACTTACTTAACCTTTGTGGAATTGGATTTGCCTCGGGAGATTTAGCAAAGTGGTGAGCCCTGTGTTCTGCTTATCTACTGCTGCTTTACAATCACCTTAAAATGGTGACCAAAAATAGTAACAATTATGGGGATCCTTAATCTGGAGGCTGACTGAGCTCAGCTGGGCAGTTCTTGAGGTTTTTGCCTGTTTTTATTCACATGGTGGCTGGAGCTGGTTGGTTGCATAGGTTTTGCCACTCAGCAGTCTGGCTCCTGGGCTAAGAAGACTGGAGCATCAGGGAACTGGAATGGGTGGGGCAATCTGGGCATCTCTTGCTATCCATAGGGCATCTCCAGGTGGTGGCCTCAACATTGCCAGACTTCACACACGGCGGCTGAAGGCACCCAGAGCAAACACCCCAAGAGAGCCACGGCCGGGCAGAAGCTGTGTGTGTGACCTAGTCTCAGAAGTCACATAGGATCCCTTGCACTATATACTACATTAGTGGGAGCAGACCCAGAGGCTCCCCCAGGTTCCCAGGAAAGGACATGGAGGCTACCTCTTAATAGGGGAGTGTCAAGATTCTGGAAGAGAATGTAGAATGGAAAATATTTTGTGGCCATTTTTGGAAAATGCCACCTGCTACATTGCCTTAAGTTGAGCACGGCATCGGGCAATTGCAGAAGCCTCCCAAGGGTGGCCAAGCACATCCATAGGACATGAACAACCTCCACAGTTTCCTGTAGGAGAGCCGAAACCGGCGAGCTCTGGGAGCATTTCTCTCTACCCATGCGTCCTCTCCATGTGGGGGTCTCAACATAGCGGAACCCCATATGTGCCGGCTGGAGGCCCCCAGAGTTAAGTGTTCCCTTCCTCTGCTATCACCTGGTGCTGGAGCTGGGTAGCCAACCTGCAGGGCAGCTTATTCATTTGATGAAATGAGTAATTAGGGGAATTGCTAATATCGTTTACAGCCCGACATGAATTTTAGTTTCCAGCGGCTATGTGGCTCCTGTAGCCCCCCGTGCCTTGTCCTAAGGCTCAGCAAAGGGGGTTCGGGGTGTGTGGAGGAGCTTCAGGACAAGCCAAGCGTCTGAAAACAGACCCAGTTTCTCCCTCCCTTTCCTTCCTTTCCTTCTTCCTCTTTTTCCATCTTCCTCCCCCTCCTCCTCCTCCCCTCAGCGCCTTCTTCCTTCTCCCCTCCTCCCCCTCCTCATCTCACTCCCTCCCTTCCCCTCCAACTCCTTCCTTTCCTCTTCTTCCTCCTCCTGCCACCTTCCCTCCATCCTTCCTACTTTCCTTCCTCCCTCATTTCCCTTTTCAGACACACAGAACTGAGTATGTCCTAATCCCTTTACTGCCCATGCTAGGCCTCTCTTTTGTTTTATTCAGTTTTATTATTTCCCCTTTTATTCCTTGTGCCTGCTTCTATTTCTCTCACCCTCCTAGGCACCTACGCTAGGGTATTTAATCCATGTTCTTCCATCCTATTTAGATATTGTGTATCCTTGGAAAATTTTTTGTTTTATCTTGGAGGATGTATGTTTTAAATTTAAATAAATTGGAAAGAATTTTTCATTCTGTTTCTTACCGTTTTTCACATAGCACCCCGTTTTCGAGTTCTAGCCATGTTGTTAATTTAATTTGTAAATCTAGTGCATTATTTAAAACTGCTTTAGACTATTTTATTTTATGCATCCAGCGCTTCTTTACTCAGCCATTCCCTTCAACGGGGACACTTAAGTTTCCTCCAGCCCTGTTCTGCCACCAGTCACGCCGTGATGAACAGATGTACTCCATCTGAAAGAACTCACAAGGGATCAAGGTATATCCTTTTTTTTTTTTTTTAAGATTTATTTATTTATTGACAGAGAGAGAGAGACACAGTGAGAGCAGGAACACAAGCAGGGGGAGTGGGAGAGGGAGAAGCAGCTTCCCACCAAGCAGGGAGCCCGATGCGGAACTCAATCCCAGGACCCTGGGATCATGACCTGAGCCAAAGGCAGATGTTTAACGACTGAGCCACACAGGCGCCCCAGGTATATCCATTCTTAATTTCACCAAATACTTCCAGATTATTTTCCTGTATCACCACACCGATTTTCATGCCCACTAACATTTTTGCCAGTGCTTGATGTAAGATTTTCTAATTTTTGATAATCTGATGGTTATAAACTGATATCTCTTGGTTATCTTAATTTCCATTTATTTGAATACTAATGAAGTTGAGCATTGTTCATCACCCATTTTGGCTTCTCTTCTCAAATTGGCTTTTCATTGTTTTTGACAGTTTTTTCTCTTCTGAAGTTGTTGTGTTTTTTTTAAGATTTTATTTATTTATTTGACAGAGAGAGAGAAGAGTATAAGCAGGGGGAACAGAGGGAGAGGGAGACAGAGTGAGAGGGAGAAGCAGACTCCCCTGCTGAGCAAGCAGCCTGATGTGGGCTTGATCCCAGGACCCTGAGATCATGACCTGAGCTGAAGGCAGACACTTAACGACTGAGCCACCCATGTGCCCCCGAAGTTTCCTTTTTATTGCTGACAGGAGTGAGTCCCTTATATCTAGACGTTAACTCTTAATTGGTTTTAGGTATTACAAGTGTTTTCTCCCAGGCTGCCAGCACTATTGAACATTTGAACCCAGTCTCAGCTCAATTTCTGCAGGGTAATTCTCTGAAATGTTCAGACAGGTCCAGCTGCCACAGTTGAAGATAACTTTTATAACAAACATCGCCTTCAGGTTTGTAAATTTAACATACCATCTGTAATTCAGCTACTTGGAAGTCTCAGCAGGATATATTGAACATATTACAATATGTATATATATTTCTCCTTATACAGTGGAAATGTTTCTGCAGATAGTGTGCAAATCAAAATTTGTTCACTAGGAACAATTAATTAAGCATTTACATCTTGGTGGCACGAGGCAACACGTATCCCAAACAGGACAGTTTGAATTCTGAAAGGATGCCAATTATGCACATTTGGGGAAAGTAAATAATAACCTCCTGATTGTTCATTTTCACGCTCTGGGATTACGCTTTTGTTGTTATATAGAAAGAGACCTGTTCTTTGAAGCCTTTTCCAGTAGTTTCCACCCCAAAATCGTTTTCTTCTTACTAGTTAGAAAGACACCGATGTGTATAGAGGAGACTATGTAGCTGTCTCTCCAAAAGAGAAATCATTTCAGGGCAAGAAGTAGTAAAATTAAGTCCATTTTCCCATTTCTATATCAAATGACCAGCAGATGAAAGCAACAAAAAGTCTTCTCTTTTCTCAATGCCTTATACCACTGTCTTTCACCAAACCCTCTTCAGCTCCTTCCCCATATCAGTTTCCCAAGAATATCATAGGCCAGTGGTTCCCAAAATTTCCTCCATTTAGAATCACTGGAGGAGCTTTTACTAATCTCAGACTCAGGTCACACCCAACACCAATTAAAGCAGAATGTTTCAAGGTGGCACTGAGAAATGCCCAGGGGATTCCAATGTTCAGCAGGGTTTGGGAACCATTGCCATACTCCCCCAGCAGCCCAGGGCTTTATCAAGACTAATGTTAATGTCAGGGAATTGTTTCTGTCCTGTCCTGGACACCCTGTGGGAATGACACTTGCTAGAACTTGGCGTTCAAGTGTGAAGTGTTGAGAGGGTGAGACTTGTTACTCTCACCATCTCCTCTCTCCACCTGAAGCTTTCTGCAACTCATCTCTTCTTTAATGAAATGGGGGTGATAGCTATTTCACAGGGTTGTAGTAAGGACTGACTGCAAAGCTGAAAAACAGGATACTGTGTCTGACACAATCAGGATTTTTTAAAATAATTTTTATTGTTATGTTAATCACCATACATTATATCATTAGTTTTTGATGTAGTGTTCCATGATTCATTATTTGACACATCAGGGTTTTAATAAATGTTTGGGAAAGTCCACGCTTGTTTAATGAGGACACATTCGGGACCTGCCTTATGCAACTCTCACTCAGAAGGTAACTTGCCCTCCTTCCCTGTGGCACCCAAGCACACTCCCCACATGCTCCTCCCTTTCTGCTCTTTATACTTTGGCCCTCTCCACACTCAACTGACTCCCTACCGGTTATTGTCAAGGAAGAGCTAGACACAAAGGACTTTCTCAGATCCATGATCACAAGGATATGTTACCTCTGAGAGCTACAGCAAAAACAAAAGGTGAGAGGAGCTAGCCTAGTAGGAGAGATCAGGAAGAACTGGGAAGAACAAAATTAGTAGACAGTGCTGAAAACATGTGGAATTGGTTGGAATTAGTGTTGAGACAATTATGGGAAAGGAAGTTATTCGGCAATAGGAAAAAAACAATCAGGCATGGGTACTTTTGAGCATCCTTCTACATGTTCGGCTCTGTGGTAAGCACTCTCGGATGGATTCAGGAGAAATAGGAGCTCTCAAGGAGCTTGTAGAAGCAAAACAAATACAACACAATGGAATGAACAGAGAACAGTTCAAAGCCAAACTCGGAGAGCTGAAATGGTCCGAAAGGGCTTTCTTGAGGAGCTGTACCTCTAGATGGAGCTTGCAGGGTCACATGAGATTTTACTTATTTATTTTTTAAAGATTTTATTTATTTATCTGACAGAGAGAGCGCACAAGCAGGGGGAGCGGGAGAGAGAGAAGCAGGCTCTCCACTGAGCAGGGAGCCTGATGCGATTCGGCGCTCAATCCCAGGACCCTGGGATCAGGACCTGAGCCGAAGGCAGATGTTTAACTGACTGAGCCACCCAGGCACCCCTCACATGAGATTTTAATTAGCTGAAAGAAGGATGTAAAATATCCCAAGGGGGGAGCAAATCAGGGGCTGGGGCTGGAGGAATCTGAATACCTTTGGCTAGGTCCCGTCTCTTCTTACTCTATAGGAGTTAGAGCAGAAGATGTGAAGGGAATCCTACCCCTGATGATCCTAATGGTGATCATTTTCCTGCTGCTTCTGTTCTGGGAGAACGAGTTTAATGAGGAAGGAGAGGTCTTAACCATGGAGCAGTTGCATGTGGACTACCCTCAGAGTGACATTCCCGTAAGGTACTGCAACCATATGGTCTTACAAAGAGTCATCAGAGGACCTGACAACACCTGCAAGAAGGAGCATGTTTTCATCCACGAGACGCCTCGAAATATCAATAGGGTCTGCACCTCTTCCAAGAGGAGGATTTGTCAGAACCATTCTTCCATTTTATGTTTCCAGAGTCTGACCAAGTTCAAAATGACAGTGTGTCAGCTCATTGGAGGCACCAGATATCCTGCCTGCAGGTACCGAGTGTCCTCCATGAAGGGGTTCATTGTTGTCACTTGTGATGATATAGGACCAGTTAGTCTCCAGAAATATGTTGAATAAGTTGAGACCAGTGTCTGAAATCTTCTCCTTCCTCTCTCAGGGGTACTCGTTCTCCCTGAGGCACACCTGAACTGTGGACCTAGGGTAATGCCTTGAGCGAACTGGGTAGCCACTAGTAATTCGTTTATCCTTCCAATGTTGCTGAACTGGAATCTTTTTATTCTGCTTTAATAATAATAAAAAAAAAACCTCTACTGAATTAAATCATAAACTCTGCATGTGTTTTAATTTCTTGTCCCTTTTCCTTGGGTCATTTGTTGAGAGCCAAAAGTGAATCCGAGGCAGAACTGGGATTAGGGTAAAGTGAGCAAGGCACTAACTTCAGGTTCAAAATTTAAGGGGCACCCAAAATCCCAGTAATCTAGATACACAAATTTAAAAAAAAAATCAAAATTAATGTAAAAATCTCTGATGAATAAAATATCTAAGTTTTAAGTCAAGACCTGAACAACCCAGTCTGACAGGGTTGGATTTAGGGTATCGGTGAATTGTACCAGTACACGGTCAGATCCTATCATATGACATTTTGATATTTCTTGATCAGAGATTATTTTGCATTAAACTAAGATTTTTAACTATTGCATTAAAATATTTATCTTGATTACTGGGCTTTTTAGCACCCCCCCTTAAGTTTTGTACCTGGAATGTACATCCCGCTGTACTCCCAGACTTGATCCCGGTGTCGAGGCACTTGGAGTAGTCGATTAGGGTCTTCTCTAAAGATGGCACATATAATTCCAACTGCATCCTTTCCCGTTCAGGAGCTGCCTCTGTGCCTTGAAAGAAAGGGAAAGGGAGATCGGAAGGATTGCCTGACTGGTCAGAAACCATGTCCCTTAAAGACCATGGAGAGAAATGAATCAGAATTTCCAGGACGGGATTGATACTCTCCGAGCTCATTGTCCCTCCTCTTGCATCCCCGGAAGGAACAGAGAACTTGCATCTAGACTCCTAACTCCTTTCCCCTTTTAGATCTTACAGCTGAGCTGGTTGTTTAGCTCTCCCACATCCAGTTGTGGGCAGGACGTCTTTAGAGTTAGAAGGCGAGGGGAGAGAACGAAGAGAAGGAGAGGCTCCTCATTTCGCGGATTTGATTAAGTCTGTTCTCTGAGCATTAGTCCCCCCATCTGGGAAGTGAGGGGCTTGGACTAGCTAGTCTTTGAGGTTACTCCACAATTCCATTTCTCCTTGTTGGAGGGGAGGGTTAGTACAGGGGAGTATTGAGAAATAAGAGGTAATTGGCAGCTGAGCGCCAGATTATGGGGTCACTAATTCTGAGCTATGACATTTCCATCCTGTGAGTGCCAGAAAGACAGAGAGCTAGAGCGGGGAAAGGCAATGCACAAGCTTTAGAGGGCCCTTTCTGTTCTTATCTTTTCAGTTGAGAGACTTCAACTATTGCATTATTTATTTGGACTTAGTTCAAGGTCAGATAAAAAAAAGGAGGTACATCTATGCTAGTTGTTAACTCTGTCTTTTGCAAGCATCAAATTCTAACTGATTGATTCGATTCACAGAGGGAGGACACTTACAATTGCAAGTAAAGTACACTTCGCAGCCTTGTAAGTAGGCAAGGCTTGCTCATGACCCATTTCTCCAGGGGAGTCCCACTTCGCTGTTATCTTCGTGGACATTTGGATGTCACCCAGAAAGCAGAGACCTCAGATGCTGAGCAGGATCAAGTGGTCCCTAGCATATCACCTGTAGCCCCATCATTTCTTGGGCAAAATTTTAAAGTAGCTGAAATGTGTCTTTAAGGTCCCTGTTTCTATGTTCTGAATTCTGATTCCTTTTCCTCTAGGCTTTACTGGCTCTTTTTTCCTTCCCACTGTTTCTACTTTTTCTTCCCTCTTTCTAAGTAGAAACAAAAATCTTGCAGATAAATGCAAATTCCCACTAAGGTGTGAGTAACTGAGACTCTCCAGTGGAATCTATTCTGGGAATATTTTCATTCAGTTGGGATCAAGATCCAATTCAAATGAATTGCGGTGTATTAGACATTTGTAGTTCGAGAGGGTATTTTTTTTTAAATGGGCACCTAGCAGTCCAAATCAAATTCAGGTAGTTGTGAATTCTGTGCACTTGAAAAAAGATGTTTCAGAAAAATAGTTTCAGTGCAGAATCTCTGCACTGTCCTTCCTTTTCATTCTTCTCTGCATTGTCTTTCTGTTTTTCTATTTCACCTCACTACTGATGTTGACAGTAGAGGATATTTAGGAAAAAATCTAAATCCTTCTTCCCTACTCCCTTCAACTTGCAGCAAGTCTATGCTCAAGCCACACATGTGAATACATCCACTTAATTCCTAATCATCTATCAATAATCAATCAACCCAATTATTAAGGCTTATATATTCTTAATACTGGGTCTTTGCTCTAATTTCACACACACAACATTTTTAAATTAAATATAATAAAAAATACAAGTCCACGTGTGTTCATGTCAAATGAGTGTTATAAGAAGTGAATATATAGAATTATCAAATCAATATGTCACACATCTGAAACTAACATAACATTTCCTGTCAATCATACTTAAATAATAATAAAAAAAAGAAATGAGTGATAAGAAGATCAGGGAGGTGAACAATGGATTTGGTAGACTTCAGTAGTGAAAAATGTGTTAAAGAAAGAATATGATCTGAAATGGGCTTTGAAGGATTTCAAGAGGCAGAAATAAGAGTAGGCTTCCAAGAAAGGACCAAACATGGAGAGACAGAACAGGGTGTATTCAGAGAAGGGTGGGTCACGCTGATTTGACTAGAGCAGGTTTGTGTACTAAAATAATGCTAGAGAGGCTTGAGAAGCAGGTGGAGATTAGATCAAGAAGAGCCTTTGACCAAGTGGCCTCAGGGGATTAGATTACCTCCAGCAGGCAGTGGGGATACTTCAAGGTTTTTGAAATAGTGTCATTACAAGTGCTGTTTTTAGAAAAGTAGTGTATCCAAGGAATTGGAGGGGCAAGGAGCAGTGGTTAGGAGGTAAGAGTGGTAATGCAGGAGATATAAGGGAAAGAGGCTCTTAGAGGTGGGAGCGAATGAAATTCTTCTGAGAGCAAGGGAAAGAATTATCACCCTAAATAACCACTCTTTCTGAGATTTTCATTATAAATTTCCCAGCATTGATCTCAAGTAAAGGGTTTTCTACACTAGTCAAGCCATGTTATGTTGTTAACAAATGTTGAGAAACAAGCATATATGCTGTTCGGTGTTTGATTCTGTACAGACCAGCCTGGAATTTTCATACTTAAAAAAGAGGGAGAAAAGAATTACATATACTAGCCAACTTGAAAAATAAAAAAAGAACATATAAAATGTAGTGCGATGTAGTCTATGCTGTAGGGTTTCAAAAAAGCTAAAAACAAATCACTCTGGGTTAAAGTACAAACAGGGAAGACTCCACAGAAGAAGAAACAGTGATTCTGCCCACGTCACAGAGATTCTGGTGGCCAAAGGCACACTTTATGAACTTCTCCGAGCATCCTCGATTCCATGTTGTCCCCTCCTTCTGTCTCATGCAATTCTACCTACCCCTTTCTTGCCCCTCCTTCCCTCAGCTAGACCAATAACAGAAACTTCCAGGAAACAAATACAGTTTCATTTCTTGCCCCGTAACAAGCTGGATTCTTTCTTAGCAGGATCTACTTGCCAAAGGAACTGGTAAAGAGAAATTCCATGACTGAGAATGGGTGGGAAAAGAAATGAGAGATGCTTTTAAATGGCTGCCATGTGCCAGGTACTGTGTGAGGCTGTAGGAGACCCGGCAGTAGTAAAGAATGTGTTGGGTGAGATTATTATGACCACGATGTGGATTACAGACCCTTCCAGTGAGATTATAGACAAGGGGAAAAGGGAGAGAGATGACTACTTGGTTTGGGGCACTTTAAACCCATTCCCTTTCCTTTTTTCACATGGGGGAAACCTAGGTTGAAGGAGTAAATTGTTTATGAGAGGGTAGGCAGGGATTTGAAGCTGGGTCTACAGATTCCACAGCTGATTATCTTTTCATGCCATCATCCTTCCATTGAAGGAGCCCGAGTTTACATGTCGGAGTCAATCCTGGACTAACTGCCATAAGGAAAAGAGAATGATCTCATTAATATTCTCTTTATTTTCATCTTTTACTGTTTTTTTTTTTATTTCTACTGCAGAAGAGATTACCCTAGATCTGAGATGGAGACCTTCTCTCTGCTGCTACTCAGCCTGGGTTTGGTTCTTGCAGGAGCTTCAGAAAGCATACTGGAGATAATTAAAGAAGAATTTTCAGGGGGAGAGATGGAATATGACATGGCAAACAGTGACCAAGAAAGACAGACCATTGAGGCATTAATGAACTTGACTCTGTTATATAAAAATACCAGCCTCAGTCTGTCCAAGGATATTCTGTCTTCCTCATTACTGACATTCAGAAGATTACATTATAGCTTCGCCAAAGGAAACAGACGAGGTAATGACAAAGAGTATTGCAATGACATAGTGGTCTGGAGAAAAGTTTCAGAAGCTAATGAGTCATGCAAGTTAAGCTATAACTTCATCCATGATTCCAAGGAAGTGATTCCCGGTGCCCCCGAAGCCTCCAGCTGCAAGTGTGGACAGAATCTTGGCATAAGCTGCTCTAGGAGCCCAGCCCTGGACACCGCTATGTGCCAGCTCACTACAGGCAGACAATTCCCCAGGTGCCAATACCATAGTGATACTTCACTAAAGAAAATATTGGCAGTGCTGACAGGTCATTCTCTGATGAGCTGGTTAGTTAGTGGCTCTAAGTTGTAAATCCCGCGGGGCTTTGAGACCAGAGTCTATCAAAGAAGGACATACTTATTCTCATTCTTGTTTATTTCCTTCTATTATCCGTATCTACACTTTCAGCACTATAGTAAGCTCTTGATTATCTATACTAACTGGAGGAATAAAAAAATCCCAAATTGTGGAGAATTCAATTAAGATTTATAGTTAATCCTGGAGTACAGATACTCTCTCTCTCTCTCTCTCTCTCACACAC